GATCAAGACTGCGCATCACAACCACCCTGCTTCGGGAAATCCATACATTCATCCAATCCATAGACGATTGACTGACTCCCAAAAAGCAAGGGTCACAGAATTAAACCACGCGGGTGTCGCTCCCCTCAAGATTAAGTCGGAATTAGTTCAAGACGCAAATGACCCCTTGCACGCCACGCTGAACACAATTTACAATCACCGAGGGAAGATGCGCAATGAAGAGCTCGATGGACGCACACCGTTTGAAGCACTTGTCCATCAAATCCGCCAACACCAATTCTACTTCATGATGGATAGTGTTCAAGGTCACATGACCTCATTCTTTTTCGCTCACCCCCGTTCGCTGGAATTGGTCAAAAGATTTCCAACAACAATCCTCCTTTATTGCACATACAAAACCAACAAGTACTGCATGCCCCTGCTTCATATTGTTGGAATGACTTCATGCAATCAGTCGTTCACCGTGGCTTGCTGTTTCCTCTCCGCTGAAAAGGAACCAAATTATACGTGGGCCCTGGAGCAGCTCCTTCTAGCAATGAACAATCAATCTTTGTCAGTCATTGTAACCGAACACAAACAAGCGGTCATAAATGCAATTAAGAAAGTCTACCCCAACACCGCTTGGATCAAATCAACGTCTTCAACCAAGAGGGACCCATCTGGATTTGAGTATGTTGAGAGGCAGAAGAAGAAACGTGGCAGGCCAAAGAAGGTGGCCAAATTGGACAAGGGGTCCAAGCGCAAACCTGGGCAACTGAGGAAAAAACCGGCCAAAAAGGATGGGACAGATGAGTCAGAGGTGTGCATTGCTTATATCCATCTGAAGATTTTTTCTGCTTCTGATTCATTTTTGAGTAGGCCATGGAAAAAGACAAGGAGAGTGAGGATGATTCTTCAGATGGAATTGGAGCTCTTTGTGAAAACATATTCACTGACAAGGAGCATTTGGAAGAAGAACCCAAGCTACCAACTGTTACAAAACCCTTACAATATAGGCCAATCAAATTAGTCAAGCCAAATCCCAAACACATCACCGAATCAGACAAACCTGACAAAACTCCTTGGAGCGAGGCACTTACTTGTAGTACACACAATAATGTGGATATTGATCTTGTGATTCAATCATTTTCCCATGTACTTACTCCTTTTTCTCATTGTTCATCCCCTCTGTTTCCCTCTTGAACTTTTGTTAGTATGAGTACACAGACCACATCAAGCCAGCAGGAGTAATCCCACACATCTTGAACGTTCACGAAGTCAAAGGCAATGGGAATTGTGGCTTCCAAGCGGTTGCGGTCAGCTTGGGACGCCAGTCTGACAAATGGGACTCAATCCGCGAAGAAATGCAGAAGGAGTTCAACTCAAACAAGGCCTATTCGGATGAAAAGGTCTTGCATAATGTATGGGGAGAAGAGGAGGACAGAAAAGACGTCATCGATTCTCTTGCATGGAGAGACAAGGAACAGCAAGCCCCCCTCAAGTACTGGATGACGTTCCCCGCCCATGGATATTTAATAGCTGATACGTACCAAAGACCGGTTATTTTATTATTGGAACAGATGCCTGTGACTTGACTTCCTCTTGCTCATACTCCAAGAAACAACCCTCCCATCTGTCTGATCCTTTTACCTGACTATTCTCATTTCATCTAGTTCACTTTCAAGGCTGAAATATGGCCATGCCCCAGGATCGATACATTTTGGAAACACTATGTCAGGGATGAAGCGCTGGGTTGGGAGGATTGGATTCAAGCCCACATTGAACTGGGTCAAGCAGTCTTGTACCCACCTGTCAGAAGATCTTTGCGCTTCAAAAAGGCTCCTGTTGAAGTTGATTAACTTTTTTCATGACTGTTCTCCATACCTTCCTCTGATTTCCTGCTATTGTCCCTCCTCTCATTTTAAAATCCAAACTACGCTCTTTTATGCCCACACTCTTTTGTAAATCCATATTTGGACTCATGAGAATATTATAGCATTTTCTGCTTTTTCCATTGATAAATTTGAGTTTGGAAGGTTAAATAACCACCAGTAACTTTCCACAGTGCTTGCATCAATAAAATGAGTGGGAGCAAGAATTAAAACGCAAAGGAATCATTCTTATGTAAAATAAATTTCAACATTAACTTCTACACCTTTCAAAGTGTAGGAAAAAATTTACAATGTCAAAAAAGAATGAAAAACAAGCCGCTAACAATTAATTGAAAAATTAGTGGGAACGGAAATTACAATGCATAAAAATCATTTTTATGCAAAATAACTATTACCATTGAATTCTCCACCTTTCAAAGTGTAGGAAACAGTTTTACAGTGTCAAAAAATAGTGAAAAACAAGCCAGTAACATTTAATAGTAAAAATGAGTGAGCAGAAAAAAAAAATCAAAATCATTTTTATGGAAAATGGACTTTACCATTAAATTCTACACCTTTCATAGTGTAGGAATAAATTTTAAAATTTCAAAAAAACTCAAAAAATAAGCGGTAAAAAATTAATTACAAAACCACGTGTACACGCTGAATCCGTGTGTGCTGTGCCGCAGCAAAACCGCGTGTAAACGGGGATTTACCACGTTTTTTTATTGACGCCCTTTTTCAATTAATTCTTCACATGTTAATTCTCAGTATTTTTTGACATTTTAATTTTATTTCCCACACGTTAAGACATGGTTAAAATTATGGTAACAATGAATTTGCATCAAAATGAAAACTATATCTTGAATACTGCATTTGACACATTCCTTTAATCAATTCTTACACGCTTAATTATTCTTATTTTGTGGAATTTTAAGTTCATTTCCTAAAATTTGAAAGGTTTTAAAATTGATGGCTGTATCCATTTTGCATTCAAATATAATTTGTATATGGTACAAATTATGCAAGAAACGGGGTACACTCATGTATTAAGATTGAACCTTGTATTTTTAGGGAAAATGGACTTCAGTTCCTTGCTGGCTGGAAGGAAACCCTTCTAGCCGGCCATCTGCCCTTCTGGCCTTGGATATCCTTTGGGATACCTGGATACCCACCAGGGTTTTGCGGAAAAGGGGCCATCCGCACCCAAATCTGCACCCTCTGGCGGGTATCTGTTGGTACCAGAGGGTATCCGCCAGGGGATAACGGCTATCTGCGGCGGATTATCCGCGACCAGCTCTAATTAATGATGAGCAGCTGTGTAATTAATGGTGTGCTGCTGAATGATTAATTAATGATGAACTGCTGAATGACTAATTGGTTTAATGCTATTCAAATCTTGATCTTTTTGAGTGGTTTTCTGCCTTATGATTTATTAACTTAATTCTAATTCTTCCTTGATTAATTTATTATGTTGTGTGATTTGATCTGTTTTGTAATTATATATATATATATATACCTTTTAATCTTCCTTGTATGTTTTATACCTTTAGTCTGTGTAGTATATATAAAATAAAATATCAAGAAAATTAACTATGATTTGAGAATAAAAGGCTTTACCATGACTATTTGATATTATTACCTGTTTTATTTACTTTTTAAACATTTTAATAAGTATTTTATATGTTTTATGAGTTTGATTGGTCTTACCACAGTAGGAAGGTCTGGGTGGCAGCCCAGTCTCATCAGAGAGGCTTACGTATTATTACTCAAATCTCCCGTGACTTGAGGCAGGCCTGTTTTTGAGGCCTGTTTTTGTATTATCATCTCTGGCTTCCATGACATTTTCTTCAAAATTTCATTGTGGCTTTTTTCTTTCTCCCTACCAACTTGTTGATCTTTCTGCATTTTTTTTTATTTGTATTTCCATGCCAATCTTTTTTTAAAAAAAAAACAAAACAAAAAAGAGAAATTCTCATTTTGCAAGCACAAAATATGCTTATACCAAGATTGCGCTTGAGCCTCTCTGCCAAATTTGCAAATCAAAGTTCAAAATCACAAACTTCATTGCCTATTTTCAAGTAGAATCACAAAACTTTTCAAAATAAAAAATTTGAGGAAATCAAGAGTATGTAGATCTTTCATCTACTAGAATCAAGAAAAAATATATAATTATAATGAATGAGTGGTGGAGCAAGGAAGGTTGCCACCACCAAAACGGTGTTTCTGGCTCACACAAGAAAAGCATTCAAGTTTCAAGTGCTTTGTGCCCAGCCAGTCACACCAGCGAGCCTCCCACCAGGGGGACTTGTGTTAAGTTCACAATTGGGGGGACTTAGTCAAGTTAGCTGATAAACCATGTTGAGCCATGATGTGGGCATTTTAGCCTATAATAAGGGGGTTCATGTACTGCTGATTTTGAAATCAGCAGTCGAACTTTGCTGGAATAGCTGTTTTAAGGTTTATGGGAAACCAAAATAGTTTAGTGGGAGGTCCCCCTTTGGATTCAAAATCCCACTTTAAAGTTCATCAGGTTGGTGCATCAGCAAGCAAACCTTAAGCTGCATCAGCAGAGGTTTGGCTGGAACGTGAACTGCCTTAATAGGGCAGTTCACGTTGCACCAAAAATGCTGCTGATGTGGCACAAGGTTTGCTTGCTGATGCACAAACTTTGTGAACTTTAATTGTGGGATTTTGACTCCAAAGGGGAGTCTCCCACTAAACTCTTTTGCTTTTGCATAAACCTTAAGATAGGGATTCTAACAAGGTTCAACTGCCAATGGTCAACATCAGCAGAACGTGAACTGCCTTAATTAAACTATGTTTACAGAAACTAGCACAGTGCCGTTCATTGTGTATGTATTTTGCTCAAAAGATGGTTTGCAATTTTCCCAAAACTACACCTGTTTTGAGCCCAACAAAAATAGCCATCCACACCAGGGAATTCTTCTAGCCTTGTCATGAAAACTGCTGCTTCATGATCAGCTTGTGTTCTTCATAAGCAATTGTTCATTCCCTCTCAGTTTACATACACATATCCGTCCATGAACATGTCAAATCTGTGTGTAGTGGGAAGTAAGGCCGAAGAAGGAAATGAGATGTGTAACCTAACAGGACCGGTTAAAGTTACCTCTGGCCTAAATTATCACTAGGGCGGCTGTGTTTCAAGTTTGGGTGAGAATCGGATATGGCTGTTGTTGCTGGGATGTTCCCTTGAGAGCTGCAGACCAACTCCGCCCCATGACTATCCTCCTACTCCCACCTCAATCCACTCCGAACATGTCTCTCACTCCGGCTCCTCAATCATCGGATAGCGAAAGCAAACCCAGGAATCAGTACCACTGTCAGTCCGTCCCCACTCCAGATCGAGACAATCAAAAAAGAAAAGAAAAAGATGTCTACGTGGTGCTAACGTCCACCACATCTTATTTTCATCAGTTCGAGCCCTCAAGAGTTGTGGGATCTTCGATGGCTATCCTCAGTTCTCGCCACTCGGCTCGTTTCAACCGTAAGCTTTCTGGTGTCATCATCTGCTTTGAAAAGTAACTCAATGGTTTCTTTTTTCTAGGCCGGGAGAGAATGCCAAAGCACTGGTTTACAGTTCGGATGGGAGGCGATACGCGGTGGCATCCCAGAACGAGTGCGATATACATATATTTATATCTTTCAAATAACGATCGGATTATTAGAGAATATCTAGAACTGATTGGTTCTCAATTAACTTATTTCGATTGTCTAGTGTCGTGATTTGTGACGCTGAATCAAGTCAAGAATTGCGACGACTCCCCCTGCCTGGTGTCATTGATATCAAGTTTTCACCCAAGGGTACCTGGATTGGCACTTGGGAGAGATATGGTCTGTCGATAGATTATCCTCAGAGATACATACGCACCATTTTTTTTTACTAATATCAATTCAAACCCCTCGTCTTCAGTCAAACCTACAGTCGAAGGAGCTCAACATAAGAACATGAGACTTTGGGATATCACAACCGGCGAAGAAGTGGCCAGCTTTTCTCAAAAATCGCAAGAAGGATGGTAGGCTTCGATCATCACCACATCAACACTCTCGAATCCTTGCTCAACGTAATCTCACTGTTTACTTACTGCTTGTGCCCGATTCAGGATGATTCAATTCACCGAAGATGAGTCCCGAGTCCTACGGCTAGTATCTGGAGAAGTACAAGTTTTCGATCCGATGTCTTTCGATTCTGGTGTGGTATCCAAATTGAAGTTGGAGGGCATGTCCGAATTCAAATTGAGTCCAGGAAAAAATCCTCTACTGAGTGCCTTCGTTGCCGAAAAGAAGGGTGCACCAGCTTCGGTCAAGATCTATCCTCTCGCTGGTCTCAAGGACTCTACTCCTCCCCTCACTCAGAAAACGTTTTTCAAGGCCGATAAGATTCAGATGAAGTGGAATCGCTCCGGTACCAGTGTCCTCATACTCACTCAGACTGACGTAGATAAGACTGGCAAGAGTTACTACGGCGAAACAAATCTGTACATGCTGAGTGCTAACGGTCAATTCGATTGTCGGGTCACACTTGGTACGTCACACTCCATATTTCACGATTTCAGTTCATCAAAACTAAGCATTCATCATCCAAATATTTAGATCGAGAGGGCGGGATTCACGATTTTGTGTGGTCTCCTAACGACAAGGAGTTTACTGTCAGCTATGGCTGTAAGTCTGCTGCATTTAATCCATTCATTGTATAGTGGTCTTCTGACGCTCGCTTGTGTTACGCTGATAGACATGCCTGCCAAGACAACGATCTTCGATCTCCGATGCAATGTAATCCATGACTTTGGCACAGCGCCACGCAATTTTATCTCGTACAATCCGCAAGGTCGCTTGTTATTGATCGCCGGATTTGGAAACCTTGCGGGCACGATGGACATCTGGGACCGTCGTACACTCGAGAAGGTGGCAACGATCGAAGGCTCGAATACCTCCCATTGCGAATGGAGTCCGGATGGCCGATTTATCATGTGTGCTACTTTGAGTCCTCGACTTCGAGTTGATAACGGTGTTCGCGTCTTCCATTATCGCGGCCAACTCATACATGTCAACCCAGTCGAACATCTCTATGCTGTGAGCTTTTTTTTTTGGACTCAACTCTCTCACTCTTATTTGTATTCCTTCAATCTGATATCACACTCTCATTGTGTATTTTCAGGCATCGTGGAGGCCACAAGCCGCTGAGCGTTTCCCCTTCCGAATATCCCTCTCACCTGCGCCCAAAAATACAGGCAACGCGGCCACTCCTTCTCCGACCACACCAGGTAAGTCAAATGCTTGACCAAAGTGTGACAGTTGAGGAAAAAGCTGACTCGATTGCATGTTTTACGAAGCCAAACCTGCCGGGGCTTATCGTCCACCTCATGCCCGTGGTACAACCACTCCAAGCCACTTCAAACGCGAAGATGAGGGTGGTGCACCATACATTGCTCCTACCAATGGTGGTACCAATGGTCATAGTACCCGAGGACGAGGCGGTGGTCCACCCGGGGCTGCACCTCGCAGGGGCGTTCCTGGCGCTGCACCCAAGACAAACGAAGTTCCTGGTCAGAAGAGCAAGAAAAAGCAGCCTCATGAGAACAAGCAACAGTCGCCAGCCCCAGAAAGCCGTGGATCAGCAGGCCAACAAGAGCATGGCGGTGTTGAGAACGGCAAACAGGATGCCAACAACCTTCTTCCAGAGGGATCTCAAGCTGTCAACAAGCAAGCCGGGTCGACTGATGAGATTCCCTTAGGCGCACTGTCTCCGGAGGATAAGAAGAAACGATCATTAATGAAGAAGTTGACGGCGATCGAACAGTTGAAAGATCGAAGAAAGAGAGGCGAGAAATTGGAGATCACTCAGATCAAAAAAATCGACTCGGAAGCTGAAACTAGAAAGGAATTAGAGGCTCTAGGTTGAGATCTTTTCATCCACCTTTAACCTCTGCTTTTTTTTGCAAAAAAAATATGTCTTGTGACTAGTGTTCTTTTTTTCTTCTTCTTCTCCTGTTTCATCTGTGTTATGCCTTGCCTTTTTTTTCTTTCTTCTTCCTTGAATGGACGCAATATCCCCTCAAATTGCTCTGGAAAAAAAAATATCAAATATATTTAAGATCATAAGAAAAAATCAAAGAGAAAAACAGGTCAAGCAGTGTTGTGTCCAGCAAAAGTAACACAAAAAGATTGAAAGAAAGTCAAGTTGAAATTATGTACTGTGATACAATGGATGAGTTGATCAGGATATTGATTTTTTCATTATAAAAGTAATAATAAAACATGTAACAGTGTTTTTGATTTATGACTGGGCTGTGACATGGTGCAGAATATAGTGTTGCTTACAGTGATGCAACACCCCCAGGGGGTTGCACAGCCCTGCAACATGTCACCCACACAAAATTATAAATTATGTGATGCAAGATCAGGAGACCTGTTGCTTGACTCTCACCAGCTGATCATAGCTACGGCTAAATTGCCTTGGATCTCTCAACACACTAACATGAAGCTACGTACTTGGTCAGATTTCACAAGGTGGTTTGCTTGGTTTTGTGCTGATTCTTTCTTGTTCTTGAGGGACTTGAATACTAATCACATCACTGATTTTGATTGATTTTAGCAATATATGCTTGGTAGACACATATATTCCAGCTTGTAATATATTGGAAGTTAGTTATTGTTGTTGTTGAATTTATGGTACAAATGCAACTGGTTCAAGTTCATAAGAATTAAATGATGAAGAAGAAATTCATACTACACATCCAATTAGTACAAAAAGATCAATCATGGAGGAACATGCTACTTGATTACAAATACAAAGTGATTGAGAAATATGTTTTATAAGAGTACAGGCACCAACAAGTCTTGCTTGGAGAAGCAGACACAGTGTGTTGGACTCTGTTCCATTAGCGCTGAGGAGACACATTTTGAGAGAATGTGATTGAAGAGTCTGAAGTGGAATTACTCTAAAGCAATAGGTTGTTAAACTTAAAGATAGGTTGTTGGGTTGGAAGATAGGTTGTTGGGTTGGAAGATAGGTTGTTGAACTGAGAAGAGGATGTTGGACTTGGATCAGGCAATTCAAAGGGATACAGGATCCATTTGAGAAAGGCAACCATCAATCTGACTGAATCATCATTGTGTTCTTGTTCCAGTGATGCCTGATACCAACAATTAGGATGGTGTAGCCTCTCCGGGATGCATTCATCAAGAAAGTGGAGATTCTCTTAGATGACCAGTGCCAGCCAAAAAGAGTGTAGCCTCACTTGATGAGCACTGCTGGCCATTGAAAGAGTGTAGCTCCTCAGCCAATGACCAATTCTGCATCAAGAAAGTGAAGATTTTCTGAAATGACCAGTGCCCGCCAAAAAAGAGTGTAGCTTCTGTAATAATCGGAATGAATAGTCCTGATAATGAAAATGATATGAGTCGGAGTTGTTTGAATGACAACGACGACACCTGATATTGATCACACACCTGCAAGAGCGCAGTGATGGTATTGAATGATTTTGTTTTTGGAAGGACACGCAAGAGTTCTTAGGTCAGTTTCTCTTCTTCACGAGCATACATGGTTAAGCGTGTGTTATTATTATAGATAGAGAAGAGAAGGCATAACAAAAAAAACAAGAATGTAAGAAAGAAAAATAGTTGAACCTGATAATGAAAATGATATGAGTCGGAGTTGTTTGAATGACAACGACGACACCTGATATTGATCACACACCTAATATGAGATAGAAGAAAAAGACAAATGGATAAAAACAAGAGTCATTAGATGAGATGATATGAGATAATGTTTGAATGATAACAAGCTGAGATGAAAGAAAACAAAGTATGGTGCATACCTGCACGAGCGCAGCGATGGTATTGAATGATTTTGTTTTTGGAAGGACACGCAAGAGTTCTTAGGTCTGAGAAAGAAAGATAAAACAAGTGAGAAAGAAAAAAAGAGAAAAGTTATTAGTTTTTGTTCCGGCCTTGGTTCGGTGAGAGGATGTGAACTACTTACTAGTTTCTCTTCTTCACAAGCGTATATGGTTAAGCGTGTGAAGAAGAGAAAACTAGCGGTAGCGGTTGATTTGTTTGGTTTTTATAAAGCGGGGTTGGATGGATTAGGTTAGGTTTTTGCGATGACTTGATGATGGTGAGAATTTCGTTTTGTGTCCGCAACACTGCGTATACTGTATGCGCAGTGTTGCGGGCTTGGATTCTAACAGCTTCTCACTTCATGAACACTGCTGGCCATTGAAAGAGTGTAGCCACTCAGCCAATGTCCAATTCTGGCCATCGAAAGAGTGTAGCTCCTCAGCCAATGACCAATGTCAGCTATCAAGAGTGTAGCTCTCCTGGTGACCGCTACCGGCCATGAGTGTGGCTTCTTCTGTCAAGAGAGTTTTGATGTTCTCCTGATGACCAATTAACACCCCACATCACAAGAGTGTAGGGGGGAAATGAGTGGAACTCTCTTGATTGATGTTAGGATGGTGTCTTTTGCCCTTGTCTTCTCTCCCAATCTTTAAACTGTTTTTTATCTTTATCTCTTTTTTTGCTTTCTTTTTTTGCATTCTTGCCTACACTACAGCTGAATATCGGGTTGTTTTAGAGAAAGAGAAATCTGGTGCAAGTAGACGGCAAACTGATCTACTGACACACTCAGATCATAATATAGTCTCTACTTCAAAACAAGATAAGTTCCATGCACACACACCTTCAAGTTTTTTCAATCTAGTTTGAGGGATTGTGAGGGGAAGGACATCGATGTCGGTCTTCATCTGGCGGAGATTGCATGCGGCCCAGCAGGCCGGCAAAGGGTACGGTTTGGGGCCTCGGATCCGCTTATCTTTCGCATCATCGAGTCCGTTGCGCCCGGCGTGACCGTGGTGTCGGAGACGATGACGGCCGGGGTGGCGTCGAGGCGCTGGGACTGTCGTTGGTGAAATGGATTCACTCGTCCCATGCACTATGACTGATACAACAAATCACTCCAAGAGGATGCAAAACTCAAATCCCTCCTGCCTTCTCTCGGAGCAAGCTAGTTGTATGGGTCTGGGAGGAAAGAGAAACAAATTCCTCCTGGACCGGCCTCTTGTTTTGGTTCAAGGGGATGAGTGATTTACTAGTCTCCTCCCTTTTTGACCAATGTGGTTTTGTCACTTCGGGAGGAATGAGAGAATTCCTCTTTGACTATCAATTGTATAGGTCCAAGGAAATGGATTGTTTGATTTTTCCAAAAACAAGACTGTGGGACCAGAAGACCAGCTTTTAACATCATACTTGAGAAATTCGAAGTAAAAATGATGCATCGTTCCTTGCAAATGAATTTTACATAGGAAAGATGAGAAAAGTCGACATGGTGGTTCAAGCTCTGCATTTGATGATAAAATGATAGTCAAGCAGTGATAAGAAGTCTTCATTTTGGTGGTCCTTGGTCTCTACTGATGTCCGTGTTGTCGGGATTCTTACAAAAGGTTGACCAGTTTGCGATCGACACAGGGTTGTTAAGCTGTTCAGCCAAAGCAAAATAATTGTCAGGGCAGCCGCAACATGGTAGAGGAAATCATCATGTTTGGGACAAACGTGTGGGACTGAGTCATTGTCGCAGCATGATGCTATTTTATGAAAAGTTGTGGCGCAGTCATTATGCATGTGTGCTTCCAATTGGATCACTGAAGAATTGTGAAAATGAAAAGTGAAGTTGTTAGCTTAATGGAAGCGTTGAATTCAGTTTCTGAAAAAATGACTAGTGCCCCACTTTCAACCTGATAAAACTTCCCAGGCAACCCACTCCGAGCGGGAAGCTTTCCTGGTAGAATTTTTACGCAGCGACGGGTCTGGAAGACACGTCCATTTTCATTTTTTACGTTTCCACAACCGAACGGGTTGGCTTGGGCGTAAGGAGCTTCGCCTTGGATGAGGAGTACCATCATAATTTGGAATAAGTGGAATGACCACATCTTGGGAAAGGGGTTTTGAAAAGATATTGGCAGGAAGATTTTTGGATGATTGAAGATGGGTTGGTGAATAGTCGGTTGCCGGTATGGCTTGCAGCATCTGCCGCCTGCCTGAGCTCGCCTTTATAGTGAACGTCTGGACTGCAATTATCAAGTACTGGGTGTGCAATGCGACTTCATACAGTTTCAAGCATCCTCATTTTTACCGAATTAGCGACACCCTGCTACACCGCAACGAGCCCCAACATCTTGTGTCCCATTTGAGAGGCCGCCGGCCGGATTTCGATGGGCCTGCGACCAACATTAACCTATGCTACCGGCATCATGTGCTCTACAGCCGTGGACCACTTCTGTGTGGCGTTAATACTGGGATTCATTTGATAGGGACTGCATATGTATGCATCAAGACGCCTGATGAGAGGTGCGGTAGGGTGCGGTTACAATTTAAGAGATGCACTGCCAGGCGCTATCTGTGCATGTATCGAACCGGCTTTTGGACCCCCGCGCTTGAGTACACAAGGAGCTAGTCAAGATTTGACCGCATCCTTTACTTCTCCTCATGGGCACCCCAGGAGTCTGGTAATGGTTCCCACAATTAGCGGGACAAAGAGGCTTGTTACCAAATTTCCAATAGTAATATGTATGCGGCGCCTCTCCCCGCTAGCTTATCACAAGCCCTTCGTGGGAGGACCCTGAAGACTTCGCAAAGCTAGCGTCCGGCCTTGACGCCCCTTCGAGTCCAATTGAAGGGTTTGTGTACAGCTAGCTCCATCCGCCTCTGTCCCCCCAGTCCCATCCATTACATTGTAAAAAGGTGACCAAGTGACACTTGATGTGACGTGGTGTCCGACTGCTCTAAATCTGATAACCATCTCTGGATCGGCTGTGCTCACGCCGGATGCCTTTCAGGACCACAAATGAGACAGTCGGCCTCACATTCAGATGCCAGATAGGCTTAGAGAGGGAAAAAAGAAGCGCTCATGGCTGACCACGAGATGGCAAGATCTTCCCTTATTGAAGGATTGTGACTCGAATTTGCTGGGCGGTGGGCCTGCGCAACATTTGCCTTTGCCTCTTAAAAAAGACTACGTATCAGCAGTTCCCCTAATCTTTTTCTCTGGAAAATTGTGCATCTGTATAGTTTAGACCGGGATCGCATTACTTGTGTCAAGCAAGACACCGAGTTCCGCGATGTATTTAAATAAATCACTTACTCTAAACATGCACAAATAGATATATAACATTTCAATATTACATATAGTTATCCGGCGATAACAATTACCCAAACAATATGTACAATGGACAAGGAACATGGTGATCATCCTAATCTTCAATGTCGTCCTCTTCCTCGAACCACAGCATCTCATCCTCTTCTTCCTGAAGTGCTTCCTGGCCAACAATACCAAGTGGGTTGTGACGGAGGGGAGGCTCCGGTCTGGGCGGAAGATGGTTAACGGAGGGAAGGTCGGCGGGGGAGAGGTCAGGCTCAGGCACGTCGTCCTCCGAGAGCAGGCCCTCAACCTGGGCATCGCGCGCATTCGGATAGACAAACGTAGAGAAACGATCGAGCAGCTCGTCGTCTGGCTCACCCCAATCAAGCCCACAAAATCAGCACGGCTATGCTCTGGGCAAAAGAGAGCGAAAGACAGGGAAGCACTTAACTCATGCTATCTGACGTAGCTTTGTGGCCCTGAGAAGATGCGATCATGCTCAAGAAGGGCAAGATCTCTACAGCTAAGACTTTCTTAGGGGCGTTCAAAACTGACCAAGAAATTTGGTATCAATTTCCAGAAACAAGACAACAATTCCATGACTGTTGATGAGGAGGGAGAATGCAGATAGAGAGCGGGCGACTAAGAATGGGCAATATGAACAGACCTGAAGGAGTTGGGCCGGATGTGAGATCTCTTGGATGACGATGTCCCTCTTGATCATCGTTCATCTCTTCGTCCAGTTGAGTCTTGTTCGGCCGAAGGCGAGCGAGCAGGCCGGGCTGGTCGCGCGCCGAGTCTACAAGAGCGGCGTTCTCGTTGACTTGTCGGAGATGGCCCCAGAGGGCGGGTTTGAAGAATTTCTGGCCCCGGCGCGTGACGGGAGAGGGAAGGCCAAGCAAGATGGCACGGGCGGCGAGATGGAAGTTGTAGAAACTTATCATCGAGGCTTGGCTGTACTGTAAATCCTCCTCATCTCTATCAGCCAACACCCCTAATGTCCTCTCATAAGCAAAAAAAACAAAACAAGAAACTGACTGACTCGATTCTGGTCTTTAGAGGACATCGTCGAGTCCGAGAAGCTCAGATACTCGAGGAAAAATGAGGCCTCGTCGATCGTGTCCGTAAACGGGGGATAGTTCTGGTGCAAGTAGACGACAAACTGATCTACTGACACACTCAGATCGGAATATAATCTCTACTTCAAAACAAGATAAAATCCATGCACGCACGCCTTCAGCTTTTTTTTTATTTAGCTTGGGAGGTTGCGGGGTCAAGGGGGATTACGAAGGATGAACTTACATCGATGTCGGTCTTCGTCTGGCGACGGTTGTATGCGGCCCAGAAGGCCGGCAAGGGATCCGGTTTGGGGCCTCGTACCCGCTTGTCTTTTGCATCTTCTTTTGCATCATCTCCCCATCCTGGAATTCAGTTCAAATTACCCAAAGTAAAAAAAAAAAACGGGGTTTTAATTAATTGACTTCCCACATTCCCAAAAAGAGCTGGGAGACTGTACGTTTGTTGTAGAGGATTTTCCCTAGACTATGGAAGATAACCAATGACTCGTCTCGAGAACTCAACAATTGCCTAAAGAGAAAGAAAAGTCTTTAAGGATCAGAAAAAGATAAAGGTCATTATGTATCATTAAGACAAAAAAATTGACCTGTTGAAGAGAGACGAGGCGTCAGCCAGTGGTAAATTCCTTTTAGATTTTCCTCCTACGTTCTCCATCTTAGGGGTCGGTAAAGTGAAGAAGAGTTGCAAATTATTCAATGCGGCTCGAAGGTCACCGTTGGAAGCCTCAACGACCAAGTCGAAATGTTTTGGACCAGGATTGAAGGAAGGAGTAGGGGCGCTTTGGGCAATTCTGGCGAGTAATTTCTTCATGAGGGTGTTATTGACGGGCAAAAGTTTAAGGAGACAGGTAGCGGGGTGATGGAGGATGTCAGAGGGGAGGAGGGTGTGGACATTCATGCCGCGGTCTTCGGCGCCCGAGAACCCGCCCGAACGGCCCCCAAACGATTCCTCGAGTCCATTCGCACCCGGCGTGACCGTCGTGTCCGAAACGATGAGCACCAGCGGTGGCGTCGAGACGCGTGGACTGTTCAGGTGCTGTCGTATCGCGTTGGTGAAGATCCGCCCCGTCTCGCTGTGGGATAGGTTTGGAAGATCATCCACTAGCAGCAACGTTGGCAGCTTCGTTCTCCTCTTCTCATCCGACTCAACCTGATCACTCGTCGATGGTAAGGAGACGTCAATCGATTCCTCCTCGGTGTCCTCGAATGATAGGGTCGGCCCTGCACTGGCTCTCATGAGCCATAGACTGAACTCTTGCGGTTTGGATACGCCTGTGAATAAAAAAAAACATTTATAAGCCATGCAAAAATGTCTCGAATTTTTCTTAATCAAGTATGGAGGTCATCGGTACTTGATTCGTTTCCCGTATTTTTCCACTCGAGTATTTCATAACCGATTCCCTCTACGGATGGCGCAGAAACTGTCTTAGAATTATTTGACTTTGAGGACCTATTAGCGGATGCAGCGGCTGATGGGCCAGGTGCGTGGGTCTGCAGGGCCGGTTCAGCGAGGGTGTGGATGATGGTACTCTTTCCGCATCCTGCGGGGCCAGCGAGGATAAGCAGCCTGCGATACTTGCGCGTATGGGAACCGCCGTGAAGCGCGTCGTTCAGCCAGGTATGAATCAAGGCCAATTTTTTCGGATGGACGGCTAGCTGGGAGGGGTCAGAAGGCGTGAACTTGTCGGACCACAACATTCCATTCGCGTGGCTGGGGTTGTCTGTTTCAAAAACACGTGATGCTTCAGCTACAAATGTGTGATGGAGCGATACCGGGAGAGCTAAATAGACTGACTGACCTGGAATCGAGGATGTCTGAGTTTGTTTATCCTTCTGTCCATCCTGTGAGTTCCTTGTACTCTTCTGGAATGGGTTGAAATGAGATTCGAGTGGTTTGAGTTTTGATTTCTTGCTATTGCTGTTGCTCGTCGTAGTGCTCCGGATGGCTGTGAGTTGACTTGGGTCGATAGTGACTAGTCGAGGGGCCTTTCGCTTCGTTCCCGTTGGCATCTTGTCGTTGATCGGTGTGGTTTGTTTGGTTCCGGATTGAATGAAACCGAAAGAAACAAAACAAAACAATCCACCCATTCATGGATCAGAGCTCTCGCCAGACTCACATTAGGGCAGTTCACGTTCCAGCCAAACCTCTGCTGATGCAGCTTAAGGTTTGCTTGCTGATGCACAAACCTGATGAACTTTAAATGTGGGATTTTGAATCCACAGGGGGACCTTGCACTAAACTATCTTGGTTTCCCATAAACCTTAAAACTACCATTCCAGCAAAGTTCGACTGCTGATTTCGAAATCAGCAGTACGTGAACCCCCTTATTACATGCCAACCCCCTTTTTCCTTGCCTCCAGAAATTTGTGTACGTCACGGGTGCATCTCGACGCCAACCCGCCCGGTATTTTGACAGACGAACCAACCTCCACCGACCCAGCCAAGCCTTCCTGTCTGCCGACGTCAAATTGGCAGCTTTGAAGCCAGGGGGTCGGCGTGGTCGGGGCGTTGACCCATGTCCACCGGGCGGGATGTGGGTGGCCCGACGATACATAAGCCGCCGACATCCAATAATTATCTCAGGGCCATGAGCGGTCCTGAGATTATGGATTCAAGAGGTTTTCAGCCAGCCCGACCGCTTGTTATGACATGAATTCCCATGTCACATTTTGTTAGATTGTTTCTCACCAACCCAAGTATGTACATAGGTTTTTTCTATAAATACTGGGCTCTTAAGAAATTTATACCCCCTTGGGGGAGTTTTCCGTCTTCTACTCGAATATTAGGATTCATAGCATAACACCGCTCTCTGCCCACAGTTCGCCTGCATTGCTGTCATCAGTCCGTGAGATTTGGACCCCGCATTGACAGCTGCAGGTTCTGCCGTGAGAAGCAAAAATTTGGGCTCTCTGTCGTGCAGGCTGCTGTGGGCCAGATCATGGGGCCATAAAAAAATTATGCTGACCACCGGACTCGATCTCAAGATGACACCCGTCATGATCACATGCTGTTGACACTACATGCAAACGGGCGACGTTTGCTGGGTAACATCGACGTGACGTTCGACACAAACGTCAGCCCAGCCCTGCCATTTGGCTGACATTTGCACGTCAAACTTCACGTCAACGTTCGGCCAAACGTCAACCGTTTGCATGTAGTGTGATGTTCTTGACTACTTGGTTTTAGATGTGTCCAAGAAGGATCTTTGATCCCGCAACCTCCATATGCAAGCTGCTTTTTTTTCTCTAAGTCATTTTTTTGAAAAAAAAAAAATTCATACCAATTTTTCTCCACCTCTCACCCAAAAAGAGAAACACTGAGACAATTTTGAATTGTCATAAAATGGGGTGACCTGACGTCAAGCCGACGACTCTGCATTGGTCATCCCAACCGCAACCTTCATGAGGCGCCCTGGCAAGCCTCTTTGAGACGGCATTTTGTTGGTTTGGCAGGACTGTCAGACCTGGTCTCCAGAGGTTGACCAAATCTAGAGCCTGGCTGAGCTTGGGTCATACTGACGGAGGCTTGATGGTGATGGCCTTGGCAAACCGTTGGTTGTACAGTGGGTAGACAGTGAAAAGTGGCTGCTTATTTTGGATTCCAGAGCTCCAAAAAATAAATTTGAAATCATGAGACTTGGTCAGGTGGTGCACAACAGTTCCCAAAAAATGAATATGAAAAAATAAAACCAAAAAAAAAAGTTTCAAAATTTGTGAAAAATAAAAAATAAAATTTATTTTTTTCAAAAGCTTTGATGTTCATTTTGGGTGAGTGGGAGTGCTGAGAGAAAGAAAGAATGCAATCTGGGAAGAATGATGTCGTCAGGAGGCCGGGTGTATAAATGACACTTGATGACAGCCTGCCCCCGGACAGTCAAGGATCGGGCGGCTGGCCAACAACTGCCGGTGTGGAAAGCCGTTGGTTGACCATTCCAACCACAGCCTGACCGAATTGCATCAGGCAGGCTGACCGGCTGGTCAGGCCAATTGCGGTGTGACACACAAACCTGTGCCAACTCGACCGCTTGGTCAACCCAACCCATTGTTTTTGTTTGATGTTGTGTTGACGCTCCGGAGGAGCAAAAAGTGTCCTGGTGGTGTAGCAGTCCTTGAAGAAGAACTACACCGCGGGTGCAGAAAAATCAAAGTTGGACGTAAATTGACCCACACCGGGCATCCAACGGTGTTGTGACAGAGTATGGGTTAACAGGTATTTACATATTATCACATGTCATTCCTGATATATTCTCACACTATTCTATATACATAGTCTATTATTCATTTAGATTCACTCAACAACCAAAGTATGTATATAGTTTAAAGTATAAATACCTCTCTACTGAAGAAATGGAGGACTTCCCTCGGAGGGCGTTGATAAATGCACGCCAGTCCCCCTTGCGCACGCCAAACCGCACGCCAGGTGCGGATTGGCGTGCGCGCCTGCACGCCAAAGCAAATTGGCGTGCGGGCCAGCACGCCAATCTAAAGAGTGTAGACCGGCGTGCAGGCCTGCACGCCATATACATATGCGTTGAGGAGCGCCGCCGTCCCATAGGACCCAGGCATGGGTCCTATGGGACGGCAGCGTAGAATCCAGAAAAAAGGAAAAAAAAAACAAGGCTGGGAGGGGGTTCCTCCCAGCCCAAAGACTATCAAGCCATAGCAGCTCATCGGGAGGGTTTCCTCCCAATAAGCTGGGCTTACAACCAGCTCATCGAGAGGTTTTCCTCTCGATGAGCTGGATTTAAGCCCAGTTCATCAAGAGGTTTTCCTCCCAATGAGCTGGTACACTGTCCAGCTCATCGGGAGGAAGCCCTCCCAATGAACTGGGCTTACAACCAGCTCATCAATGTCCAGCTTACAGATTGTTTGTCCGTACTTTTTGCAGGTACCTGGTACCTCCTGGGGGGTACCCCTTGCACCCGCCCCGCACCTGCCAGGAGGTGCCAGGTGCGGTACTTGGTACCTATTTTTGTGAAAAATTGAACAGGTACCTAGGTACCTCTACAGGTACCCCCTCCCCTCACTTCCTTACCAAAAATCAAAATGATGGTGGCCTTCTACTCCAAGAACTCCAAGATCCAAGAAGGTACCTTGGATGCATGGAAACAGGGACTCAAGGATAAAAAGAAGTCTAACAAAAAATCAAAAAGGAAGGTGATGGTTTTGGATGACAATGAAGATTCTTCCAATTAGTTATAAGTTTTAGATAGTTTCAACTTTTGAATAAATTATTAAATATGAACAAATGAAAAAAGTGATCTGGGACTGATTTTTTACAATAAATATGAAAAAAATAGAGAAGTAAGATTCTTCCAATTAGATGTAGATATATTACAACAGATATTAAAAAATGCCAAAAAAGTGACTTGTGAGTGATATTTTACAATGAATATGAGATAATAATAATAATAATAAAGTGACTTGGGACTCTGGGAATGAAACTAGGTGAAAAAGAGAGGGGGAGTACCTGAGGTACCTGCAACGGGTACCTTGGGTACCCCCCAGGAGGTGTCTGGTGTGGTACATGGTATCTTTTTTCTTTAAAAAATGAACAGGTACCTAGGTATAAACAGGTACCCAGGCCTGAACGAACGATCTGACTCCAGCTCATTGGGAGGAAACCCTCCCGATGAGCTGGTACACTGTCCAGCCCATCGGGAGGAAACCCTCCCGATGAACTGGGCTTACAACCAGCTCATCAGGAGGAAACCCTCCCGATGAGCTGGAGCAAGGTCCGCTGGCGTGCTCCTGCACACTCCAGCCAACAGGGTTTGGACCCTGTGGACCGCTGGCGTGTGCAGGGACACGCCAGGATCTGCAAGGCGTGTGCACCCACATGCCAAAAAAATTGGCGTGTGGGTGTGCGTGTGCGAGGGGGGAGGGCGTGTCGTTATCAAGCCCCTCCCTTGGATCTGGGACCCTTGCAGTTTGCGATTTAGACCCGAAAAGTCTAGATTTTTGCAGGGAAATGGATGACTTCCCGTCAACATCTGCGGGTCTCCCAGTTTTGATTTAGAGCTGCAAAAGCTAGATTTCCCTGCAAAAATCTAGACTTTTTGGGTCTAAATTGCAAACTGCAAGGGTCCCAGATCCGACGGGAAGTCCTCCAATCTAGCTTTTGAGGCTCTAAATCAAAACTGGGAGACCCGCAGATGTTGACGGGAAGTCATCCAATAGTATTTCCCCTTGGGGGAGTTTCATCTTGTGATCTAACAGGTTATGAGCCCGCGCTGTCACCAGCTGGGTTTTTGATTTTCTAACTCCACCCTCATATGCTTAAACTTGGACTAACACTCCGGCTCTAATCTTGGACTAACACTCCTGCTTTATGGTTAACATGCGATAAGACAACACAGATATCATTACGCCAGACTTCACTGCTAGAGTTACACCTCCGTGACAGGCTACTATCACCACCAACACATCCAAGTACTCATCCAACTCTTCAAATTTTCTTTCTTTTGACGTTTCTTGACTTACAATGTCTGGCAACCCTTCATTGCCCAGCACCCGACCTGGAAACTCATCCTTGCATGGCCCCGCTCCATGCAGAACTCTGACCAACCCCACCAACATCTATCCGCCTCTTCCCAATATCAATCTTCCTTTGTCTATGTCGTCGATACCTTTTCCTTCAAACAAGATGTTGAGTAGTCATTTTCATTTTACTCTTTCATTTCAGTCTATGTGCTACACACCTGTAACAGACCTATCACAGATCCTGTAGTATACCTGGGCCAGATCAGAGTACGTGGAAGGATTCTCTTTTCTCATCCTTCCACTATCTCTGGCTTTGACCCAGGTAAGTCATTTCTTATGTTTCTCTCTTCTTTCCTCATTTCTCTTTGCCTCTGGTCTGCTTTAGGATCATGTTATCATTACTGAATGCAATGCTAAGCAGATCCTTCCACTATCTCTGGCTCTGACCCAGACTCTGTCTGTCTCATCAGGTTATGAGCACCATCTGTCTGTCTCATCAGGTTATGAGCACCATTGCGCTCACGCTATAACTCACGCTAATCACTGTCAGAAAGCCAAGAGAGAGTTAGGATCCATAGACTTGTCGTGAAAGTCCTGTGTGAATGGACACACCCCCCTCACCCTTAATCAAATTGGAATACTTCATCTCAACGACTCCGACATCTTCCCCTCCATCTAAATCAAACCCCCCTCAAACCAACTCAAAACACTCCGCTGAGTTAAATTCCGTCGCTTCAGATACAAAGCAACCACTTGACTTGTATTCACCTCATCCGGATTTCAATTTGAAATAAGACTTGAGTTCCGATTCATTCAAGTCTAACATTTGACTGCCAATCATGTTGACGAGCAAGGAGACCGACGTTTTGGGCCATCCAACTCTAAAACTAACTGGAGTGGAACAATTAAAGCCACCTGGATCCGACTCCAACTATCTAGATTGGAGTTGGATCCTTGAGATCCATTTTGCGGCAACGGACGTCGACTACATTATCAATGATAAACCGGAAGTTGCAAAGTCCAAGGCCTCTTTTGCCCGCAAAAATAAAGCTGTATGCGGAATAATCTTGCAAACTATCCATCCCGCCAACATTCCTAATGTGCAACACCTAAAAAACAATACCCGCGGGCTTTGGGACTCGCTTAAGAAGGCTCACCAAGACTCCTCCGCTGGAGGAGTCATGTACTGGCTCCAAAAGCTCACAATATCCCGAATGGTCGACAACGATCTTCCAACTCACCTAGATGAAATGGCCAAGACGTTTGAACGTCTCAGCGCACTCATCACCACCAAATCACCTCTAACCCCAGACAATATATATCCAACATCAATCCTTGATGAGCTAGACAGGGACTGAGAACAGAAAGCACGGTGCAGGTGAGTGATTGATGTTCGTGGAAGGATGAATTCATTTCATATGAGAAGAAAAGAAAAGAAAGAAAAGGAAGAAAGAAAGCAAGAGAAGAGAAACAAAGACTACTATACCTGAGGACAGCAAGCACGGTGCAGGTGAGTGATTGATGTTTGTGGAAGGATGCTCCACGAGTGCTGCCTCAGGTATACTACAAATGTGTGACATGAATGTGAAATATACGTGACATGTATAAAGCAGAGAAAAAGGAAATGAGATGAGAAGGAAACTGATCAGCTCAACACCCCCCCTTGCTGCATACATGGATTTAGAGATAAAAGAAGAAAGAAAATAAGAGAACACAGAGAAAGAGAGAGAAAGGCAGAAAAGAAAAGGAAGAAGGAAGAGAATAGAGAACAGAGGAAAGAAGAAAAAAAGAATCATGGAACAATGCCAAACAGGGTGCTGTGTCTTTCCAGTGCAACTCGGGGAAGAGGTTTAGTCAGCATATCCGCCAGCATGTCCTTGGTGGACACATGAATCAGGGAGATATCATGTTCTTGCACACATTCTCGGATGAAGTGATAGCGGGTGTGGATATGTTTAGTCCTTGCGTGGTTTCCGGGGTTCTTTGCTAAAGCCTCAGCCCCTTCATTATTGACATGCAGTGGGATGGTGTTGTCTGGTCGGAGAAAAAGTTCTGTGAGGATGTGTTGAAGCCAGAGACCTTCTTTGCAAGAGTCGGAGAGAGCTTTGTATTCCGCTTCTGTACTGGAGAGCGACACCATGGCTTGTTTTCTGGATTTCCAAGAGATGGCACCATCACCAATGCAATAGGTGTAGGCAGATGTTGATTTCCTGTTGTCTTGGTCTTCAGCCCAATCAGAGTCCAAGTAGCCGGATAATACCAGATTGCCTCCAAGGCGGAGTTTGAGATCCTTAGTTGTTATCAAGTAATTGAGAATCCGAAGATTGGCCTGCCAGTGAGACTCAGACGGGTCCCAAAGAAATTGGGATAGGCGGTTGACTGCAAAAGAAATGTCAGGTCGGGTGCATTGAGATACCCAGAGAAGAGATCCAATGAGTTGGGGGTACGGGCCGGATGACACAGGGTCGGACTGAGAGCGCGGACTAAGGTTTTTGAAAATGGAGTCAGTTGGAGTTGCCACTGGGGTGGGATTGTTGTTGAGAAACCTTGCAGAAACTTCAGAGATGTAATGAGCTTGATTCAGGAAAATGTGATGATCTTCAGCGTTCCTGGGGATCTTCAGTGAGAGAAAGTGATTGAGCTCCTCGTCCGCACCAATTTTGAACCGTTTACCAACTTCAGAGATGAGGGAGGTGACAAAATTGTGTTCACCCACAATTGAAAGGTTGTCAACATGTGTTGTGAGGGCACCAATCAGCTTGTTTTTATGGAGCTTGAAGTATAGAGTGGGGTCATATTTTGAGTTGGAGAGGCCCAGTTCGAGCAGAGCTTTGTGTAGTTCAATGTTCCATTGACAAGGTGATTGTTTGAGACCGTACAGAGACTGATTAACCTCACAGACCCAATCCGGATGTTGAGGATCTTCAAAACCAGGGGGCTGTTCCATGTAGATTGGTTTGTCCAAGTGTCCATTCAGAAAAGCTTTTTTGAAATCAACTTGACGTCCCGTCCAATTGCGGCAGGCAAGAAGACTGAGTATCAGGCAAAGCGTTTCCAGTCGGAGTGTCGGAGAAAAGACTTCATCGTAATCAAGACCGTGTACTTGCGAATAGCCCATAGCTACAAGTCGTGCCTTTAGCTTTTGAATAGTGCGGTCAGGAAGGCGCTTCACCTTGAATACCCATTTAGACTTTATAACGTCCTCTTTCTGGACGTGGGACAAGCTTCCAGGTTTGCATTCCAAGAAGAGAGGCAAATTCCTCATCCGCCGCCTTAAGCCAACGATGTTTGTTAGGGGATTTGAGGAGCTGGCGCCAAGTTTTTGGGGTGTCTACATCACAGTCAGTGGAAGCGTTCTTGGACCATTGCCCATAGCGGTCAGGGGCACACCAATCACAGTTGGAGCGTCGTCGGATAGGAGGTGGGGAAGGTGTTGGCAATGGGGCTTTGGCCGGTGGGGATCGAGGTGGAGTTGACCGGGAGGATGGGGTAGGAGACAGTGGGGGGGGAAGGGGGAGAGGAGGGAGAGAAATTACTGTAACATCGGGTGACGTGGTTGATGGAGACGGAGCGGGTGTGTTGTAAGATGAGTCGGAACTTGAGACAGGGGAGATGGGGATAGGATTGTGAGAAGAGTCAGAATCTGAGTCAGAAGAGATGGGGAGAGGATCCCGGGGACAATTATGAGGAGCATGGATGGATGCTGCTAGTCTCCTGTCAAAACGGGGTGCGAGAGGAATATCCAGAGGTGCATTGTTGTCAATAGGTGGAGTGGTTGAAGGGGCCTCAGTTCTTTGAGGATGGTGAGTGTCTTCAGGAGTGTCATTTGATGGTTTGGGCCAGGTGATTTCAATTGAGACTGGTTTGGGAGTTTGCTTGAGCTTAGCGCCATAGGGGAATGTTGTGTCTTCAAAAAGTACATCCCGGGACTTGACAACAGAACACTTTTCAATATCCCAAAGACGGAAACTGTTTCCATCTGGTAAGTAGGAGAGAAGCAGAGATGCACGTCCTTTGATGTCAAGAGATTTACTATTGGCTTCAGGGATCTTGTATCAGACCAAACAGCCGAAGGGATGGATTGATTTGAGGTCAACCGAGTGTTCCCGCAATATTGATGAGGGGGATTTGAAACCCAAAGGAGTGTGGCATGGGAACGAGTTGAAGGGAAACATTGAGTGTCGGAGTGCGCCTGTCCAAAAAGATTTGGGTAGGTTGGCCTGAATTAGCGAAGCTCTGACCAGATTATTGATTGTCCTGTTTGTTCTCTCGGCGACACCATTTAACTGAGGCAAATGAGGTGGGCCTGGCTCATGTCTGATCCCAGATGAAGCAAGGTAGGAAGAGAACTCATTCGATAGATACTCCCCTCCATTTTTGGTTCGAAGAGCAATTATTGTGTGGGAGCCACTTTTCTCAAAGAATGCCCGAGAAATCTTGAAACACGCAAAGGAGTCGCTTTTTAATTTCATAGGGAAGACATAGAGAAACTTGGAACAATCGTCAACAAAAGTGATGAAATATTTATAACCTTCTCTAGAAAACACCTCATATGATGCCACGTCAGAGTGAATAAGTTGACCAGGCTTTGAGGACCGATGGGCTGCGCGGGATTTGAAAGCTTTGCAGGGCATTTTTGCTTGGACACACGTCGGGCACCGTTGGACTTCGATTTCATTCATCACTGAGGCAACGGTGCCACAGAGACGATACGATACGGTATCAGGCGTTTATCTGTATCGTCTCAGAATTTGAATACCCAAAAATACCGGATTTGTGTTGTCTCACTTTCCTGAGACATATACATGTATCGTATTTGAAAAGTGAGAAATGTATTCTGTATTGTCTCAGATGACTGATCCCACCAAAACCGTATTTGATACTTAAGATATTTGGCCGTATTGAAGAAAAAACAAAAAAAAACAAAGACATTTTTTTTTTTCATTTTTAAATCCAAATCCAATACAATGTATTTTTTCACCAACCAAGGAAATACTGATACCGGTATCAGGCTCAAAATAAATACGATCCGATCCGATACGAATACATGTCTCGTATCTGTTGCACTGTTGACTGAGGGTATAATTTTGTTAGACTTCAGCAACGCTTTGAGTGGTTTAAGACCAATATGAGAGAATCTTTGATGATAGCCGAGGAGAGAGTGATCAGGGGGAAGGGGTGATAGAGATAGAGAAGAGCAAGACCTCACAGGGTCCGAAGGAAGATAATAGAGGTTTCCCCGTCTGTAACCTCTTCCGGCTGGATCTCCTTCTATTTTGGTGTCGTTCGATTTGAAAATGTTGGAGGACGCCTTGTTGAATACGACTGTAACACCTGCATTGCAGAGAGCCGCCACAGATAAGAGAGGTTCGTGAAGAGAAGGAACCACGAGAGTCTTTGGTTTCTCCATCTATGGGGAGCCTGGAGATGCCTCTGTGGGTCGCTTCTACCACTGAATGATCAGCCAAGCGGACAGGTGTGCAGTCGGTTTTTGGGTTTTCGACTGAGAGAATATCCGGTGTCATTGACATGGAACATCCAGAGTCTAGTTTTGCGTCCCCAGTACCAGAGTAGATCTTTGAGACAGATAAAGAAGCAACCGCGTTCCCCGCAGTGATTTCAATCTTGGAGCCGGAGTAGTTGGACTCGTCATCTTCATCGTAGGCATGAGACAATCCACCAAGAGTTACAGCCAAGGTGCGGCCGGCTCGAGCTGCTGGTTTACTTGACTGATTTGGCTTTCGATCCTGATCTTTAGAGTCAGTCCGGGCCTTCTGGCTGGCTTTATGCTTGTCGAGGATGTGGCGCGTATTGTTGCAGTTGTTGAGGTCGTGGCCATCTGCGTTGCAGAAATCGCAGTGGCAAGACTTCTTGTTTTGATTTCCAAGTTGCTTACCGGTATGAGACTTAGTCTTGGTGGAGGAGACAGATACTGCAACTTCGTTTTGAGAATGGCGTCAAGTATGCTCATTTTTCAGAGCCAAAACAATAGATTCCGTGCTGACACCCTCTTGATTCATGAGGTGAGAGACACAGCCCATCCAGTCGTCTGGGATGGAACTGAGCAGTGCAGCAGAGTGAACATCGGCAACAGTAAGCGGTTTGTTGGTGGTGACAAGAGAGTTGAGGTGGTCGTATGCCTTTGCCATAGTGTTGATGTGGGAAAGAACATCATCACCCTCCATCTTGGTCAACAACAGCTTTCGGAGCCAGTAAACGCGGCCCCCAGTCGAGGAGTCTTGATGAGCGCGGACGATTGCTCCCCACATTCCGTATGTGTTTTGCTTGTAAGGACGAATCGCGATGAGATTAGAGGAATCAATCGTTTGTGTAAGGATTGCGCAAACGGTCTTGTTGTAGGCCGTCCACGCAGCTGTTGGATGATTGGGCAAAGGCTTATCAATTACATAGTTGATGCCCAAGGAATCGAAGTATGCGGTGATCACGAGCTCCCAGTCAAGGAAGTTCGAGTCCGGTCCAGGGGATTGCAGGACCGGCAGCCTTGCAAATGCGGACTTAAGCGAGACCGCTGTTGGCGTATCAGTCTTGGTTTTATTTCCGGACGTCTCAGTAGACGGTTTCTTTGAGGAGGGATCGTCCGTCGACATTGCAAAGCGAGGGATTGAAGAAAAATAGATCAAGGGGATAGTGATACACCGGGGGCAATATATCGCTATGTAGAACTAGGTGAGCTGAAGGGGTGAAGGGACCATTGATTCCTGATTGAAAGGAGACAGGAACAGTTGTCTTGAAGTATCCGGGTCAAGAGAAGACCGGAGCGAGCGAGGTTGATAAGATAGAAACGGCCGAGAGAGAGTTTTCGAGCCGTAGTGGTACTCGTCGAGACAGACAACGACGACCGTTGATCCTTTAGATTTTCACAAAGATAAACACCAGAATAAGCCGTTATTTAACGTGCCGGAAGCTGTCAAAAGCTGAAGCCTAGCGCGAGCTCATAACCTGATGAGCTAGACAGGGACTGAGGACAGCAAGCACGGTGCAGGTGAGTGATTTATGTTTGTGGAAGGATGAATTCATTTCATATGAGAAGAAAAGAAAAGAAAGAAAAGGAAGAAAGAAAGCAATAGAAGAGAAACAAAGACTACTATACCTGAGGACAGCAAGCACGGTGCAGGTGATTGATTGATGTTCGTGGAAGGATGAGGAAAGAAGAACTTCCAAGAGTGCTGCCTCAGGTATACTACAAATGTGTGACATGAATGTGAAATATACGTGACATGTATAAAGCAGAGAAAAAGGAAATGAGATGAGAAGGAAACTGATCAGCTCAACAATCCTGACATTGCTCCCTCAAGACTGGCTCTCTTGCGTGTCGTCAATGATGAACGAACCAAGAGTCAATCCGTCAAGTCTCATCGATGCCCTTAAAGCCAAGCATCTTTGCCAGAAGACCAGGTCAGACGACACTGCGGCGCTCAAATTGGCGGCGTCCGCCAAATCTAACCATCATTTTAAAGGAAAACCTTGTCCGTTGGGCCAAGCCATTTGTCACTGCACCTATTGCAACATTGACGGCCATGACCTCAACAAATGTGGTCACGTAGCCAAAATAATCAATGCCCACAAATCCTCACAGGCTAGCGGCAAGCCCAACAATCCTCCAGGCCGCCCAAACAACAAAGGACGTAAACAACCCGCCACCGTTGCAAAGGCTGGTCAAGCCTCGGCTGCACCGTTAGGAGGCTTGTCACCTACGGACGAGGAGGACGATGATTTCTCGGGCTCGGAAGTTGAAGTTACTGCCGGTCAAGCTGCCGTGTCTCTATCTTCGACAATTTCACCCATTCTGTCAGGGGACGCAAACCTTGACTCAGGATGCTCTATATCGATGACTCCCGACCAGTCCGCCGTCTCTCTCCTCAAGGCCAATAGAACCCCAGTGTGTTTTGCAGACCACTCTCTTGTTGAAGCAACTCACAAGGGAGTCCCAAAGCTACCACTGGACACCGACAAATCCATCCCAACACTGGTAGTACCGTCCCTGGCAGAGCCTATTCTCTCAATTGCGGGACTTTGTGACACTGGGCTCACCTTTTTATTCAATCCAAACTCATGTGACATTTACGACTCCCCCAACTTTGAGTCATCTGGAAAAATGGTGGGAAGAGGATACTGCAGGGGCAATCTCTACTATCTTCCATCGAAGCCTGTGAGCTCTTAATCTACCTCTCTATCTCCCTCCCCCCCATCTATTTGCTGGATCAGCTTCTATTGACACCAGTCTTTTGGGATACCATTGGCGCCTCTGACACATAGGACTCAAACCATTGAAAAGACTCCTGAAGATGCATCACACAAACGACATCAAATGAGCTTGAGGTACAGCAGTGTTCAATCTGCCTACAATCAAAACTTCACCAAAAACCCTTCAAGTCTTGTTCATTATATCAATCCAAATCACCCGGCAAAGTAATTCACTCAGACGTTGGCTTGTGTGAAGTCCACTCTTGTGAAGGCTACAAATATTTCATTTCCTTTATCAATGACTGCTCCAAATCTTTTTTTCTCTTTCCCATGAAATCAAAATCAGAAGCATTTTCCTGCTTCAAGATATTCTGTGCCACATTTGAGAAAATCAACAATCACGTCATTAAGTCACTGAGAACCGACAAAGGAGGAGAGTACATTTCAAGTGAGTTCGAAAACTACAGCCAAACCAAGAAAGCTTGTGTCTTGGTTGGCGGAAGATTCAGAAAAAAAAAAACCCGACTGCAGTCGGAATTTTTGAAAGAATACAGCACCCTGTATGCCCATTCACATACAGGGGTTACTCCAGGGTAAAATCCCTATCTTTTTTCTCCCTCAGTTCCAGGTCATGAGAGTAAGACCATTGGGATCCTGAGGGAAGGTTTAGTCAGACTGGCCAATTGACATGCAAGACACCCATTCCCCTGCCCCCCGTAGGGCTGGCTGGTTGGGTCCGGTGCGGTCCTGTCGGTGCTACCAGCAGGCATGTTGGAACCTGTACAATGGCTGTATTCTTCCAAAGGTTCCAACTGCAGTCAAGATTTTTTTTTTTCTTTTTCTGAATCTTGTGCCAACCAAGACGCAAGCTTTCTCGGTTTGGCTGTATCTGAAAAATGTGGGCATTTGACATGAGCCGGGTCCACCTCACTCCCCTCAACTCAATCAAGTGGCAGAGCAAACCAACCACTGTGGTAAGACCAATCAAACCCATAAAACATAAAAGATATATTAAAAAAATAATAAATAGTAAATATAATTTCAAGAAAGCAGGGGATAATATCAAAAGTCATGCTAAAGCCTATTATTCACAAATCATAGTTAATTTTCTTGATATTTTATTTTATATATATTTACACTACACAGACTAAAGGAATAAAACATACAAGGAAGATTAAAAAGTATATATATATAATTACAAAACAGACTTTATTAAATTATCTCAAACAACACAACATAACCAGATTGGTCAACAAGGAATTAGAAATAATATAAGGTTATAAAGCTGAAAACCATTCAGAAAGAATAAAATAATATAATATTAAATCATAAAATAATTCAGCAGATCTTATTAGTTAATTAAGCAGATCATTATTAATTAATTACACAGCCATTTAATTAAATTACATAGCCATTGAATTAATTACACAGCCATTCATCATTATTTCACAACATAAGGATCATTAATCACACAGATGACATCATTGACCAACATAGCAGTAGAATATTGATTTCACAACAGCACATCATTAATTCCACAGCTGCACATCATTAAATTCACAGCTGTAAATCATTAAATTCACAGCTGTAAATCATTAATTTCATAGCATGAAATCATCATGACATCATTAAATTAGCGGTATGAGGTCATTACCAGTGAAGCTGTTTACCATCCTCACCAAAGATTTTGTCTATAAATAGAGGCCCTTTTGGCCCATGTTTTCCTTCCTTCCTCCCCATACTAGCTACAGAATAGTAATTAGAGATATTACTTAGCTTTCATCAACCCTTATATTTCAGATACAGAATAGTAATAAGAGAATTTACTAGACCCTTACTCCTCATATTGAACCCTGTTAAATAATAAAGGAAATTATTTAACTCACCTCCAGCTCTCAACAGAAGATATTGAAGAAAGAAAGAATCAATTTATTAAAGACCCAGAATTGAACCAGAGAATCCAGAAAGAATAGATTAAACCAGAATAAACCAGAAACCCTCAGATATCTCCTAACTCCAGAAGCTCTTGACCATCCTTTCCATCCACCCTTATAAACAACCAACATTCTCAACAGGTAGTATCTTCACTAAGATAAATTTTAAAAATCTACCACACTATTATTTTTCTTAGTGTAACTCTCTCACAAGCTAGACCAGGAGGGCAGTCTCACCAACACCCATTTATCATTATTACTATTTCATAGCTTTATTAATATTTATCCCCTCCAAGCTCTTCACTCATTAGCTGAGCAATTTCACACCGCACCATCAGCAATCTGGTACGCTCCTCTCTGATCAGTGCTTATCTTCCAAAATCCTTCTGGGTCAATGCTCTTCGACATGCATTCCATATGCATAACCATGTCCTCTGCAATACTTGTCTAGGTTTCAAAACACTGGGCTCAATTCTTGGACTACCTTCAATCAACATTCACCCCCTGCACCCCTTCGGCTGTCTCACCTACTACAAAATTCCTGAAGAGACCAAGAAGAAGTTCAACCAAAGAGGACGCACATCCATTTTGCTGTCATATCTTGCTGATGGAAACGGATATCAAGTGTGGGATCTGGAAAAGCAAACAGTTGTAAAATCACGTGATGTTACTTTGATTGACACTAAGTTCCCCTATGGTTCACCACTTTCCAAACCGTCAGATCCTGTAGTTGTTGAACTCCCCTGGCCCATCTCCTCTGATGTTACCACAGTTCAAGATTCACCCAAGAAAACAACAATTGACAACCATGCCACTCCAATCAAACCCCCATCACCATCCTCTCCTTCCTCACCGGATCTTCCTCTGCTGGACATCCCTTTTCAACCCCGCTTTGATTGCCAGCTGACAGCATTGATTCAAGCACCCAGGAATGCTCCTCGCAAGATGTTGCCAACAGCTCCACCTTCCAATTCATCACCCACCAACACCTCTCCAACAGGCACTGTCCCCATTACTCTCCCTCCGCTACCTCTGCCCCCGGTCACGTCAGATTCACCTCTTGCACCCTCTGACGGTGGCTCAGCACCTAGTAATCCAACACGGGCTCAGGCTCCTCATCCCCCGCCAACTCGTCGATCCGGCCGGGAAAGAAAAGCTCCTGACCAATATGGAAACTGGTCAAAGCACGTCAAGACAGCAGAGGATCTTGAAACCCCAAAGACGTGGAAGCAGCTGTTAAAATCCCCCAATAAACACCGATGGCTGAAGGCGGCTGATGACAAATTTGCCTCCCTACTCGGGATGAACACTTTGTGCTTGGTTCCTCGTCCACAAAAACAGAAAATCATCAAGTCAGAGTGGGTATTCAAGATTAAACGGCGCCCTGACAAATCAATTCAGAAACTCAAGGCCGGACTTGTTGCCATGGGCTACTTGCAAATTCACGGGCTCGATTACGACGAAATATTTTCACCAACACTCAGACTTGAAACGCTGAGACTCATTCTCAGTCTACTAGCCATCTGCAACTGGACAGGGCGGCAAGTCGACTTCAAAATGGCCTTTCTAAATGGTCATCTTGACCACACGGTATACATGGAGCAACCCCCAGGTTTTGAAGACCCCACACGCCCCAACTGGGTATGTCAATTAGATTGGTCTCTCTACGGGTTAAAACAGTCACCTCAACAATGGAATGCCGCTCTACACAAGGCTCTCACCGACCTTGGCCTCTCCAACTCAAAATACAACCCAACCCTCTACTTCAAAACTCAAGACAAAAAGCTAATTGAGGCACTCACCACACACGTCAACAATCTTGCCATTATTGGTGAACCCCTATTTGTCTCAAATCTCATCAAGTCCTTGGGTGAGAAGTTTTAAATTGGTGCGGATGTGGATCTTCATCACTTTCTTTCTCTCAAAATCATAAGAGACAGACAGAACTGTCAGGTCTTTCTGAACCAATCACATTACATTGAAGAAATACAAGACAGGTTACTTGAAACACACACTCCTACCAAAACTCCAACCAACACCAATTTCAAACTTCTCTGTCGCCGCACCCCCAACAATCCAAAATCATCTGGTCCATACAATCAACTAATTGGGTCACTACTCTGGGTGTCCCAATGCACCAGACCAGACATATCATTTGTAGTGAATCGCCTCTCGCAACATCTCGGGGATCCCTCGGAAGCTCACTGGCAAGCCGCAATTCAAGCAATGAACTATCTGGTCACAACCAAAGATCTTTGACTACGCCTAGGCGGTGAACTCAACTGCTCCGGATTCTCTGACTCAGACTGGGCTGAAGACCGTGATGATCGAAAATCCACATAAGCCTACACGTATTGAATTGGGGATGGTGCAATTTCCTGGAAGTCTTGAAAGCAAGCCACAGTTTCTCTATCAAGCACCGAAGCGGAATACAAGGCGCTGTCCGACTCTTGCAAGGAAGTTCTCTGGCTCTGTCATGTTCTCACCCAACTATCACTCCGTCCAAAAACTGCCATTCCTATCCATGTCAACAATGAGGGTGCGGAAGCCCTGGCAAAAAATCCAGAACATCATGCTAGGACCAAACACATTCATGCACGGTATCACTTCATTAGGGAGTGTATCCAAATTCAAGAAGTTGAACTCCTGCATGTCTCAACCAAGGATATGCTTGCTGAAATGCTGACTAAACCGCTCTCTTGTGTCCTTCTTGAAAAACATTGATGTCTCTTTGGTCTGGTCCCCTAGCCCAATTTTTTTATCTTCTTTCTTTCTTTATCTTAATTCTTATGTTATGTCTTTTAAAAATCTTTTCATTTTCTTTATAATCTCATATTTTTTTTACTCTTCTTCTCACCCTACTTTAACTTTTTTTTCTCTCTGTTCTAAGATCTCTTTCAGGTATGCAGCAAGGGGGGGTGTTCATTAGTCATTTTAATTTTACTCTTTCATTTCAGTCTATGTGCTACACACCTGTAACAGACCTATCACAGATCCTGTAGTATACCTGGGCCAGATCAGAGTACATGGAGGGGGTCGGAAAAACGACTCCCAAAAATTGTCCAACGACTCCCGTTTTGTTGGAGGGGTCGTTGGACGGGAGTTGTTCTTCTAAATCGATGGCCGACTTTGGGAGTCGGCCATCCAATTTCTTTTTTAATTTTTTTTAATTTTTTTTTTTATTTTTAGGGAGTTGGCGCCCCAAACCACCCCTCATGCTTGAGGGGGTTTGGGAGTTGCTCGCTCCCATGACTGGAAGGAAGGAAGTCCTTCCGGTCAACAAGAAGTTATACCTCATTGATCGGAAGGGATTTCTTCCGGTTGATGAGGTATAACATGCTCATTGACGGAAGGAATCCCTTCCGATCCTCATCGACCGGAAGGGATTCCTTCCGGTTGATGAGATTGTTACATCTCAATGACCGGAAGGGATTCCTTCCGGTCAATGAGATTGTTAGATCTCATTGACCGGAAGGAATCCCTTCCAGTCAATGAGATTGTTACATCTCATCAATTGGAAGGAATCCCTTCCGATCAAAACCTCATCAATTGGAAGGGATTCCTTCCGATTGATGAGGTTGTTACATCTCATTGACCGGAAGGAATCCCTTCCGGTCAATGAGATTGTTATACCTCATTGATTGGAAGGGATTCCTTCCGGTCAATGAGATGTAAAAATCTCATCGACTGGAAGGAATACCTTCCGGTCAATGAGAATTTTGTTTCTTGTTGACCGGAAGGAAATCCTTCCGGTCATGGGAGCGAGCGACTCCCAAACCCCCTCAAGCATGAGGGGTGGTTTGGGGCGCCGACTCCCTAAAAATCCAAAATTAAAAAAGAAATTGGATGGCCGACTCCCAAAGTCGGCCATCAATTTAGAAGAACGACTCCCATCCAATGACCCCTCGACCAAAACGGGAGTCGTCGGACAATTTTTGGGAGTTGTTTTTCCGACCCCCTACATGGAAGGATTCTCTTTCCTCATCCTTCCACTATCTCTGGCTCTGACCCAGGTAAGTCATTTATTATGTTTCTCTCTTCTTTCCCCATTTATCTCTGTCTTTGGTATGCTTTAGGATCATGTTATCATTACTGAATGTAATGCTAACCAGATCCTTCCACTATCTCTGGCTCTGACCCAGACTCTGTATGTCTCATCAAAAGAAGGATTTGGCTCGGGACAACGGTCAGGACACTCCTCCGGTCGGCTCTAAACCCAAAGACAATTCTCCTGTTGGCCCTAATCCCGCTAGTTCCGCCAACCCAACTGGAGGACCCGCGTTATCCCTTGATCAAATCGTCAAGAACGAGCTCAACAAGACGGGACTCTCCGGCATTGACAACAACCTGTTGAAATTTTTGCTCATCTGTAACCTCATGGGCAACAGCTCATCCCTCGGTGAGACCGGCTCAGCGATGAACTTGGCCTCAAATTTCCTCAAGTGGCACCAATTAGGCAAGAAGGTTGCTCCACCTCTTTCCATTTGTCACCCTACGTGATTCCAAGACACAAGATCTTCTAGATACAAGTGGTTCAAGAACAAAAAAAAGCTTGTAGAGTTTTTGGTTTTAATTTTAAAGGAATAAATTCCAATAAAACAGGGGAATTTATGGGTTTAATTTAAGAGAAAAATTGCCAATTTATAAGGGGCCTGATAAATCAGGGGTGGTTTGAATCCCTCTAAGGTATTGTGCAAAGGCAGAGGATTTAGGTACCTGGTACACTGGGGCCTGTAAACAGGGGTGGTTTATATCCCAGGATTTTATTTTAAGGGGAAAATCCGGTAGAAAGGGTTATTACTTAATAGTAATAATCCTGTAGGGTCTTGAGGATCTTCAGAGTAGAAACTGGGAAGTTGAAAGCGCTCAAAAAGGTGGATTTTGGGTGCTGGGTGATCACTGGGGAGTTTCTTGAGGGTTCTTGAGACTTAATAACAACAATTATAGTAGTAACTAGGCTAATTACAAGTGTAGGGGACTTGTAAATGGTAAGTAAATTTCTATAAGGTATTGTAAAGCTGGGGAATCATTATTTGGGTGGTCAGAAGGCCCTTTAAATACATGTGGAAGGCCTCAGGGGGTGCTCAGGGGAGCTTAGTAGGACTTGGAGGTGCTTTTGGGCCCATTTTGGCCCACATGGTGATGTAACCAGGGCTGGAACCTTGGGGATAATATTCCAGAAGCTATAAGGGGTCATGCACAAAATTTCTGCAGCCAAGAATGTCCCATGGGGACCTGTGGATAGGGGCTACTCTGTTACGTGGAGCAGGTTCCTTGGAAATGGGCCACAGAATATTCCAGAGATGTCTTCTGAGGCTTGCTACATGTGTTACCCATTGGAATATGGTTACTGTAGTATTTTCATGGATATTCTAGCTTGTTTACATTCTTATTACACGTTTGGGGGCTTTGTTGTCACGTGCAATGGGGATTCTGGGGCTTTTGTGGCCCAATCCTTGGATACTGGTGCGCAGCATGACTACGTGGTGCGGGGGCTTGGAGACAGGACTCCACACTGCTCTATCTTCTAAACCGTGCACAATACTTCAATTCTGAGACTGGATTTGGAGTATATGCATTATGCATTATGCAGAAGTGTCACAGTACCTGTGATCTGGGGGTACCTATTAATTATTCATGCATGTATTAACTATTTTCTGTCCCCCGTAGGAAACTATCTTCTCTTTAGTTTTAAAGTAGTTTAGAGGTTTCAATTACTTTAGTTTTGTTTCAGTAAGGGGGTGTGTTGGGATAGGAGTATTCTTATATCCAGTACATAGTATGCTTCAACTAAAACTCAAGCCATCATGTATATAACCTATACCTGATTGCTACTGTAGTGTTTGTTCCCCCAGTGAATCAAACCATACTTTTCTCACTCATCAAGTGTCACTGGCTTGTCAGCCGTGAACTTTGGTTCTTCATCCTTTGTTACACGCAACAACCTCCTCCTGGTCTCTCCTCATCAGTCACTGGACTGACCTTGCGCAGGCCCCAGACGCTTCAGATTCCATAGCAACGGGCTATGAATCTCTCAAGATGAGCCTGCTAGACTTGGAGGAGAGATTGGGGGGATGGACAAAAGATTAGTTGTTATCCCTTTCCTTTCACTCCAGCCTCAAGCGATTTCATCAACCCATTGCTGATGCCCTTGACTCTCGTATTGCAATCCATCCAAAGATTGAGATCACCTTGACCGACATTCTCCACATGGCATCTTGGATCCAACAGGCTAGTTCTGTTTCCTCTCCATCGGCCATGGCAATGTCATCTCAACGGTCTGGATTGTCTGCCGGATCCGGTGGACGAGGGGGTAGAAGACATGGTGGCTACAGAGGATCTCATGGTGGTCAGCGCCCGAATTTGTCTGAAGGCGGTCATCACCAGGGCGGGTCAAACAATGGGCAAGCCGACTCTTGGGGAACAAAGTGGTTGACCCCCGAATTCCCTTGTAATTTTTGCTGGGAATGGGGCCACTGGGCACCTGACTGTCCCCGTGTCAAGAATGGGCAATCGTCGCTGGAGGATCTGCGTCTGAAAAATCCTGGATGGAGACCTTCCAAGTCAGTGGTAATGTCCAGCCGACTTGTTTCACAACAGGGCAATCTTGCGTTGGTCTCAGCCAAACCAGAAGATTCATTGGATATGTTAGTGGATACGGGGGCTACCAACCATGTAACATCCTAGCAGAGATTTCTTCCTTAACCTTTGCCCAACTTCTCAAGAACGCCTTCCCGTAGAAGGTATGGGTGATGCAATCATCCCAACTCAGTACGGCAGTCTTCGACTGAGTAACATTATTCTATGTTCTCAAGTTGGTGGGACGGTTCTCTCTGTTGGTTTTTTTGACAAGTGGGGCGGCAGTGTTTCTTTTGCGCATAGATGTTTTGTTTTCAATCAGTCAAATGTGTCTTTTCCCACATACCCCCTCAACTATCGCTGGCTCATTCCCTCTTCTTGCTCTTCTCATCCCTCCTCAAGTCATGTTCCTCATTTGTCAGCAATGTCCATTTCCAAACTGTGGCATTCAAGATTAAGTCACCTTGGTGTTAGGTGTCAGCGCCGGTCTCTTGAGTGACCTGGTGTTGATGGGGTTTTAGGGTCACACTATAACTGCTTAGGCAGCCAATGGAAAAGAACCTTGCCTCAACGCTAGTAAGCGGAGGGGTTAGCTCCCTGGGTTAGAGGGGACACACGCGGAATGAGCTTTGCGGTCCCAAGCTCAGAGTATGTATAACTCTCTTCTAGGCTACAGTAGTGACTTTACTGTAGTCTGTTGTGGCTTGAATCCTTGTTGTTCTCATTACTCCTCTGTGTCCTCCTCTTGAATCCCCAGTGCTCCAAATTTGGAGTTTGTACACCGGTCTACAACATAGTCTAGGGATGAGGGAAGATGATGGATGTAATGGGCTGTAATAGATTATAAAAAACCCCATTCACTTAGTTTAAGTAAGGAAAACGGGTTTGTATGGCAATAATCTCTGGGGGGAAGAATCCTAGAGGGAAAGCCCTCCCCCTTAAGTATTGCAAGGCAGGGTTCAAACTGCCTGTTGGACCGGACAGGTCCACAGATGATCATTTTATGTGTTTAAATCATAAATGATCAAAATATGTATTTAAATTATGATTACATCCAAAGTGGAGGGAATGACATCATTTCTCTCTATGGGTGAATCCATACAGAGAGAGATAAATTAATCAATTCCAAAAGTGTAATTATCTCTCTCATTACAGAATATAATTAGAGAGAGAGAAGAATAGATTTTAAGTACATAAGCTAGAATCTCTGTAATAAAGGTATATTAAAACAGAGGAAGATACTAAGTTATTCCACGGAATTACTTAGGAAAAAATATATATAAAAGAAATGAATAAAAATACAAAAGATTTTAAGGGGGATTGAACACAGGGGTGTTGGTACAAATTGTCTTAAGACAGTTCCTAACCACTACACTAGCCTGTTTGTACTTATATCTTTACATTTTAGACACTGATGGAATAGACTGGAGACAACACGGTTGGAAAGGATCATTTCATCAAAAAGAGAAGAAAGAGAAAAAGGAAAAAGAAGAGACTGACCTGGAGACAACACGGTTGGAAAGGATGAGGAAAGAGGAATCCTTTCCAACAGTGCTGACTCCAGTATAAGAACTAGAACATGATGAGTGTCACAAACTGTGACATGTGAGAGGTGAAATCAGAGAGAAGCACAGACAGTAGTGTAGCTATGGAAATGAGAATAGACCTGTGACATAGATAGCTTAACACCCCCCCTTGCTGATAACTAGTTTCAATGACAAAAAAAGAAAATGAGAGAGAAACAGTGCGCAAAAAGAAAATTAAACAAGACCAAACATAACACGATGTTTTTCCAGTAGAACTCGTGGAAGCGGTTTGGTGAGCATGTTGGCCAGCATGTTGTGAGTGGAAACATGTACAATCTTGAAAATGTTGTCCCTGACGCAGTCGCGGACAAAATGGTACCTGGTGTTGATGTGCTTTGTTATAGAGTGATGTTTGGGATTGTTTGCCAAAGACTCAGCTCCTTCATTGTCAACATGGAGCGGAAGTGCTGATTTAGGGCGAATTGCTAATTCAGTGAGCATATTGCGGAGCCACAGACCCTCCTTACAGGAATCTGCAAGAGCTTTGTATTCTGCTTCTGTGCTGGAGAAAGAGACAGTGGCTTGTTTGCGGGATTTCCAGGATATAGCTTCATTGCCAAAGCGGTAGGTGTAGGCTGCACTAGACCTTCGGTCTTGAAGGTCTTCAGCCTAGTCCGCATCCGAGTAACCTGTGCAGGTAAGGGAACCTCCTAGCCGGAGACAAAGAGATTTTGTGGAGGCCAGGTAGTGTAAGATTTTAATTGCAGCGGACCAGTGGGATACAGAGCCGTCGCGAAGGAATTGAGAGAGTTTGTTGACGGCAAAGGAGACATCAGGGCGAGTACACTGAGCAATCCAGAGGAGAGAGCCAATTAGTTGACTGTAGGGTCCAGGATATTGTTCCTCATCTGAAGTCCGCTTCACTAGATTTTTGAAGAAGGTGGAAGTGGGTGTTGAAGTGGAGACATGGGTACCATTAAGAAATCAAGAGACCATGTCATCAATGTAGTGAGCTTGAGACATATAGAGAAGACTGTTGTCTAGATAATGTGTTATTTTAATGGAAAGTAAATGATGAAGGTCTTCATCTGCACCAATTTTGAATTTGGCGCCAAGGTTAGATATGATAGAATCGACAAAAGAACTTTCTCCAACAACAGCAAGATCGTCAACGTGAACAGTTATGGCGCCTAGCAATCTCCCATCAAAGACCTTAAAGTATAGAGTGGGATTGTATTTAGATTGGGATAGTCCAGAGCTGAGAAGTGCCAGATGAAGTTCCTGATTCCATTGACAAGGGGCCTGCTTTAGTCCATAGATGGAATGTGTTACTTCACATACGTAATTGTGATGAACAGGGTCCTCAAAACCAGGCGGTTGTTCCATGAAGACTGGTTGATCCAGGTGACCATTTAGGAAGGCGGTTTTGAAATTGACCTGGCGTCCCTTCGATGACTTTGATGCTAAAAGGCTGCAGATCAGTCTGAGTGTTTCAAGGCGCAGAGTGGGAGCAAAAACCTCCTGATAGTCAACACCACAAACTTGAGAGTAACCCATAGCAACAAGCCGAGCTTTCAACTTGAGGATTGACTTATCAAGGCAAAGTTTGACTTTAAAGACCCACTTGGATTTGATGATCTTTTGTTTCGATGGCCGAGGAACCAGACACCACGTTTCCATACTAAGGAGGGAAGAGAATTCTTCATCAGCAGCCTTTAGCCACTTTTCCTTGTGTGGGGACCTTTGGAGTTGACACCATGTTTTGGGGGTATCAACATCCTCGGACGAGACAAGTGCCAATTTATCCCAGTTGCCTTAGCGTTCAGGAGCTTTGCGAACTTGCCCAGAGGACCTGATTGGTGGAGAAGAGGGACAAGAGGCTGGAAGAGGAACAGACAAGGGGTCGGGAACAGTCAGCGGTGGCAAGACAGAGACAGGCGGAGGAGATGGAGAGGGAATTGAGGGTGGGAGAATCAGAGGGGGTGGGGTGTCCATGAGAGACAAAGCTGGAGGCCGCAGAAATGGAGAGGGGAGTGGGATAGGCGAAGGGAGACCATGTGACTTATTGGAATCATTGGAATCACTGGAATTGGGGGAGATTGGAATGATAGGAGAGGGTTCTCGGTGTTGCCTGAAGGATGGTGGCATGGGAAGGCGTGGGTTGATGGGAGAGGCAGGATGTGTCAGAGCCGGGGGGTGTGGGATGACAGGAGAAGCAGGAGGTGGCAGAGTGTGGGGGGAGGAGATGAATGC